AGCACCTCTGCCTGGGGCTTACTGTAGTCAGCCACTATGCGCCTGGGCTGTCCCGCTGCGGGCGTCCTCCGCGGCTTTGCTCCGCGTCTCCCTGGTCTGACCAGCAGACCAAGGAGACGGGGAGCAGCTTTTCTGACCCCGGAGAACGCGGGCGGCGGGACCGCGGCTCATCTGGGCGTCCCGCCGCTCCCGTCCTCCGGGGCGAGAAAAGCCCCGTTTGTAACTGCAGATCCGACGTAAGTCGGATCCGCGTAACTCGGGGACTGCCTGTATTCCAATTAACCACGCAGTGTTTTAAATCAGGCTCTAAACACAAATTATTGTTTTCATTTATTGTAATTAGAAATAATATGCAGATAACTCCCTTAAAGATGTTTTACCATAAAGGAATATTTGTCAAGAGAGCAGGACACAGGGGGAAGCCAATGTTTGGGGCTTCTCTTCCGGTTCCCTGTGGGAGTGGTGGGAAGCTGTTCACTTAGGCTGTGTCTAGACTGAACAGTTCTTCCGGAAAAAGATGTACAAATTGTGGTTCACAATTTGCATAACTTTTTCCGCTTCTTTTTTCAGAAAAGGATTTCCTGATATTTGGCTCATCTACAGTGGGCCAAATGTCAGAAAAAAAATCCTTTTTTTTTTCAGAACATCCCTTCTTCCTCGTAAAACAAGGTTTACAGGGATGCAGAAAAACATTTGGAAGGGCAGACGCGTTCATTGATGCAACAGAGTTTTGTATCCCGGAAATACTCTGCAGTTTAGATGTACCCTCGGGGCTTCTCATTCCCCTTGCCCTGATATACAGGGTAGCCATAAAGATAGTTTAGACACTAAAGGCTAAATCAACAAAAGTGTAAAACAGATTATCCAGAGGTGGATGGGGTAGAAGGGCACTTTTATTGAGGACACTAATTCCGTCTTGGACCCCCCTCAACTTTGGGATGCAAGTGAGCAACAAATTAATCACAGATGCACCTTTTTATCTTAGTATGCAAATACTTATCAACGACATTACTCTTTAAACCCCAATTTAGTAAAATGAATACCCATAAAGCACATAATCATAACCATATTCAAGGCTGGATTACCCAATAGGCAGACTAAGCTTAAGGCACCAGCAAGGCAGACGCGCCAAAAAAAAGAGAGAGATTTTGCGCTATTGTTTTTATTTTGAATTACATATGGGGGGGGGAGGGGCACCGTAATCTTTTCAGTGCTTAGGTCCTCTAAAGGTCTTAATCCAGACCTTCATATGATGAATATAATTATACCCACCCATTTACAGCTCTTTAGTTAACATAAGCAGTTCTCACATCACAAAACTCCTTAAATCAGCAACTTACAAGGGGGAACAAAGATATGACCCTGAATGTATACTTCAGAGGGAATGGGAATGGTTGTGGGAGTAAGGAAGATAGCATTGTTCAAGACATAGATCAGTTCGAAAAGTTACATCTTGGTACAAGTGCACGCTCATCCATCCAGAGCAAGCAGGGAAAGGCAGAATCAAAACAAAAACTGTAAATCAACAGAAGCAGGGTCTGCCAGTGCTGTGGCCCATTACCATGGTCCCATTTACCAAGACCCCTTTTTTAACGCCTTGCACACCGCAACAAAAAGGGCTGCGGCTTTTTGACATGCTGCATTCATTGCACGGCCTGACATGTATCACCCAGGCAATCCCTGGCACTCAAAACGCCTTTGGGAGAGGCACAGCTGACTGGTGGCAGCACTGGGGAGGTGCATGGCTCCACCCATGCCCCTCCAAAATGTGACTTGCTAAACGAGGCGCCCCTCATGCTCCCTCCCCTGCAGGCACAGTCCCCTGTGCCCATGGTCTCGGCCACGAAGGGAGATCCCGGGACTGGTCTCTTGTAGATCAGCTGTTCCGACGGACCCGGCCGCCGAGGCGCAGACCTGCGCCCCACAACCCGCCAGCCCGCCCAGCATGGTCCCTCGCCGTGGCCATGCCCCCCCCTCGCCTACCAGAGACAGCCGCGCCCGGCCGGCTCCGTTCGTCACATCGCCCTAGGAGCCTGGGAGGCGTCGCGCCCCGCCCTCCGCGCGCTGCCATTGGTCAGCTCTCCATAGCGCCATCTCGGCCTAGCACCGCCGATTGGCCGGGAGCCGCTGGGGCACGGAGCGCGCGGCGCTTGCGAGAGGATGGAGGGCCCCGCTCATTAGAATACACCCCGCCCCTCATCCTTGTACTCGCCACTGCTTGGCTCCGAGCGGGGAAGTGTGTATCCTAGGCAGCGGCGCCTGGTAGCATCCTCAGCCCGGGAGAGGACCCGGGCCCAGCCCAGACGGGGGAGCGGCAGCCTGGGAGAGGGGCTAGGCGGGAAGGGGCAGGTGCGGAGAAGGCCGCGAGGAGCCGTCAGCCGGCGAGGGGCAGGTGCTAAGAAGAGCCGGGCGCCCCATGCCTTGGAGCAGCTTCCTTGGGTCAGAGGCTGCTGGGTGTGAGAACGGAGCCCAGCCCGAGGATTTCTGAAGAGGCGCCCATATGGATTATTAGTTCATCTCTGGGTTCAGGGGAGGAGCCCGTGGACTGCCTGGGATTTAATAAGATTTTGGAGTGGATAAGGAGGGTCTCCTCGTAGTCTAAATCCATAGGGAGTTTGCAGCTAGCGACAAGCTACATTTCAGGCCACGTGTACTGCTGCTGGAGAAGAGAGGCTGTGACCCCCACCCTCCCAAAAAGAGATCTAGGCACACAAAAAAAACCCCACCTATCCTGGCAATTTGACCCTCTTCAACATCAGTCGGCAGTAGCTCAGGCCAAAGATGGAGGCTGTTTTTAGAATTTAAATAATTTGACCTGCTGTAAAACTGATTTTTTAAAAGAGAAGATTCATATTGAATTCCCACTATTTTTGGCGTATCCTTGTCTCTGGGCTGCCATGCTCCAATAAAGCTGCAGTTGCTACCTTTGCAGGGCTTTGTGAGAGATTTTTGCTTCTCCTTTGCCACCTATGTATTCCTGAGAGAATATTTGTATTTTTATAATTTTTATACTTTGTACAAAATCCCTTTTTCGGATCACTTTAATCACACTACAGGTGTTACAGGGAGCCACCAGCGAGAGTTACTTACCCTTATCATAATGTGGACTTTTCTGGGCATCGCTTCCTTCATCTACGTGTATAAGAAATGTGGAGACTTGATGATTTATTTCAACAAAGAGGTGCTGCTGACCATGTTGATGTTTTTTTCTCTTGGTTTGCTGCTGTCCTATCGGTATCGTTCAGGGTGGTTAAAACAACAGCAGCAGCAGGGGCAGCTGAAACAGTCCCACTTTGGGATGCTCTGTAGTGTTCTCTCAGCTTTACCACTCGTCGGGTTTTTCTGGCCCAAATCCACCCCTGGATCTTCACAAGCAGAACAAGCCAAATCCAGAAAGGTAGGTTCAGTTCAAACCTGGGCTGAGAAATGGAATGGGAACCTTTCTCTGTTTTTACACTAGAACTCCTTTGTCAGTGTGAGAGGAAATGTGTTAATTAACAGTTGGAGGGGATTTATCTTTGTAGTCCTAGGGATTTATTGTTTTTTTTTTTAGCTTTGGTTGATAGACTCGTAAATAGAGCCTGCTTAATCAAGACACTAGGTTTTTCAGTATCAAATGAAGTTTAAATGTAAACCTTGGAAGAAAGCTCTCATTATTTGCAGTTTCTGTGAATAGTTTTGAGTATTTTCCCCCCATAGGAAACAAATCTTAAATTCTTCAGTGGGGTAGTCGAGTTAGTCTGTAACAGGAAAAACTTAAAAAAACAGCAAATAGTCTGGTAGCACTTTAAAGACTAAAAAAACATGTAGATGGTATCATGAACTTTTCTGGGACAACCCACTTCTGCAGGTGACCAGAGAGAATCTTTGTTGGAACCAACAAATTTTAAATTGTTAGTGTTATGACATACACCAGCTTTCAGCATCTTTGCATTTGAAAGGAAAACATTTATCAAGATCATTGGCAGACCTAGAAAAAAAAATCTGAAGATACTTCTGATGAAATCCAAAAAATTCTGTCGATAATGGCAATGGACATCTTCAAAGGCTTTTAGAACAGTGGGTAGGTTCTCTGAACCAGACTGTCAACTTGTCTTTGTGTATCAATGGTATGATACTGGAAAGCTTCTGTTTGTGTCAGGAGCTCAATAGGAGCCCCATTAGAGTGCCAAGTAGGTGTACAGATTCAGTTCATCCTTGAATTACAATAGTTGGACTCCTCTTCCATATGTTCTTTGGAGCAGAACTGACTGAGATCCTCTGCATTAGGATCCTGGCTCCCTGGCTTTGTGCTGCAGTTTATTTATTTTATGTTTACTTCCTATGATTTATAATAATTTAAAGTAGCAATAAACATGTCATCATAACAGTCCAGTTTCCCTTGCAGGCAGTTGTACTGATATATAATCTAGCTTTTACTAAAGCAAGCATTGAAGAGCTAAGGTGCATGACAAAATTAGCTGGATTCCATTCTGCTTTGTACACCATTGAGAGTTGTCATTTAAATTCTGACTGTACAGGCTTCTTTTGTTGGGAGTGATGTAAAAAGCAGAAAATACTTAAGATTTTGAAAACTGCAGATACAAACTGCAGCTCTGGCATTCAAAAAATATTACACAGGTTTGCCAACGGACTTATTGAGGGCAAATAATAAGTCTGCTATAACATTTCTTGTCATTTTTGTGCAAGGTGAGGTATAATTGATAACTGTCAGGGAGGATGAGAACCTGTTAGGTTTTTTTCATACACTATAGAAATTGAGTAACATATATAATCAATTAAGGTTTCAATTGTAAGCAATATAACAGCATACATGTAAAGTTGCCCTAACACTTTTCATGATAAAATTCTGTTTTCAGTTGTTTATAACTTTTTGCCAAATTATAACTGCTTAGGCTGAAACTTTCCATTTTGGCTGTGTGCCTTGGGGTGGATTTGGGAGAGGAGGTTATAGGGTAGATCTCAACAAACAAGATTCAGCTATTCTCAGAATAAGGTTGCACAGAAATGCATTTTGACCATGTTATAAGAAATTAATTCAACTTTTGAGAAGCATGAATGCTTCTATACTTTGCAGCAGTGACTCGAAATTTGGCAGGGAGGTTGCCATGCTGTCAAGAACCTGTTTTTTGCAGTCCCTGTAAAAATGCTCCCAAATCTGACCAGATTTATTATTGGCCTCAGAAAAATCTGTGCCTTCAGACCAGTGCTACAATCCTATCAACCACTCCTGCAAACCCTTTCTACTGAGCTTTGTACCTTCTACCATGAACATGGCACTTCTCACTGGCTGTGTCTACACTGCAGAGTTTTTGTGCAAAAACAGCTGTTTTTGAGTCAAAACTCTTGGCGCATCCGCACCTCAAGCATGCTTTTGCGCAAGAAAACGTACAGTGAATCGACAGAATAGAGGGGTATTTGCAATATAGGTATTCCTCTTTTTGCTGAGGAATAACTTCTTTTTGCTCAAGAGCTCTTGTGCAAAAAGGTGTGGATGGATGGGAAACGGGTTTTTTTTGTGTGCAAAAACAGCCTATCGAAAGAAGCACAGGTGCCCTGGTGGCCGTTCTGTTAATGGCAATCAGAGCTTTCTTGTGAGAGAGCATCCATGCAGTCTGGACGCTCTCTTGCGCAAAAGTGCAGCGCTTTTCCTATGCTCTTTTGCAGTGTGGATGTGCTCTTGCGCTAGAAGCCCGCAGTGTACACGTAGCCACTGTTGAACTCCAGTGGGACTACTCCAGTGGGACTATTCACGTTGTTAGGCTCAATAATAGTGGTTTTCAGGATTGGGGGGGGGGGGGTTGATATTCAGACCTAGACCTAGAAAAAACTGACTAATTTTAAAACCAAAGTATAATTTGCATATTATATTGTCTGTTATTACTTGTAAAATAAAGAGTAAAAATGCTAACTATGTCATTTGCATTTTTGTTGGCCTTAATTTCTAATAGGGTAAAAGACAGGTAAACTCAAATGCAACTGTGACAGAGACTGCTTCAAATACATCATCAGCTCCTCAGTATGATCCAGAAATTATCATCGTGGGTTCAGGTGTACTGGGTTCTGCTTTGGCTGCAGTGCTGTCAAGGGATGGAAGAAAGGTGACAGTAGTTGAGAGGGATCTGAAGGAACCTGACAGGATAGTTGGAGAATTGTTACAACCTGGGGGATATAATGCTCTTAAAGACCTGGGTCTTGAAGGTGAGTAAATCTTAAAGTCAGATTTTTTTTGCAAAGGTATTTACTTGACAAGAACAAAACCCTCTTGTATCAGTGAAAAGTGTGCTTACAAAGAACATTAAGAAATATAATGTATTTTGGACATGTTTGGATTAAAGCTGACTGTTCATGTTTCCTTTTCACTATTTTGAAAATGTTTCCTTCTGTGTTGCATGTGTGTGATTGTATGCTAAAAATATACAATATTCTTCATGTAGAGATTCATTTTTATTCATTTTTAAAGATTAATGCATATCATGTATTCTTTGTTCTTTCACTAATATATTGGAATTTGTTTTCCAGATTCAGTGGAAGGTCTTGATGCTCACGTAGTAAATGGTTATGTAATTCATGATCTAGAGAGCAAGTCAGAAGTTGAAATACCTTATCCAAACTCTGCAGATGGTCTGGTGCAGAGTGGAAGAGCATTTCATCATGGACGTTTCATCATGGGTCTCCGAAGGACAGCCATGGCAGAATCCAAGTAAGATAGTTGGTTTAAAATTTTAATCAACATAGTATAACAATTTTAGGTTCTGTTCCTGCATCAGTATCCAATTGCACAGTTCCCTGCTTCTCTGAGATGGTCCATTTACTTTAGTGGAACTCTGCAAGGGTGTAGTAATCTTCACTAGGCAGTCTTGTTGAAGGAGCTAAGTTTTAATTTTGGGTTGGTTTTTTTTGCTTCAGTTTGCATATAGATTATTTCTGTGGATGTTTATAAGGGATATATTAATTACACGATAATCAACTAAAAGAGCATCTACACAAGCAACAGTACATAATTTGGTCTTGGAAATACAGATTTTAAACATTGGACAGACAAAATATTGAACCACATCAAGGAGTAGCCCAAGTCTCAGGGATTAAGCCTTCACTTGCATCTCTCATAGTCATTTATATCTCTGCAAAGTGGTTATAAAACATTATCATTGGTCAGTAATGTGCCATCTATACATGTAATACTTGCACTGCATGCCCCAGAATATAAAAATGTGGTCTAACTGGCAGTCTGTGGGGCAGATCTTGCCCTGTGCATTGATTCTGTCTGCCCCTTCAACAATCATGGAAGATACTATTTTATAAAATAAAATGGTGTTCTCCAGACAGAGAGACCTTATATGCACCAGAGGTGTGAGGTCATTCTGCCTGGTAGGATGCTATTTTGAACATCTCTGAAAAGGCATTTAAATTTAGAATTGGATTGTTGCATGCTATATTGAAAATGTTATTGCACGCCACTGCCTTTGGTGTGAATGTGGAATTCTAAGTTGGTGGCGTTTTATAGTTGGTCTGTATATGTATAAATGGCTACACAAAGATGATTCAGTGGGGGGAACAGGCCTTTAATGCTGCATAATGCATACTTTAATAAACTGTGCTGATCTGAACTATTTGCCAAAACGAGCCATGCTCTGTCAGTGAATAATGCACAGAATTACTTGGATTGATCAGAGAAGTAAGTGGTAGAGCTGACTCATTTCATGCTCAGGGATTGTACATATATAGAGTTAGTCAGGAATAGCTACTGTACTTTAAATTCATCCCTCACCTTAATCTTCATTAACTTTCAAGTGTAGATAGACCCCAAGCATATTGATCTTCCTGATGATTTGATTTGATTTGAAAAGAAGCTTGCCTCAGCAAGAATGAGGATTATCATGAGTCTCTTTTCTTTACTTCTCCACTTTTTTCAGTAATATGTATAAGTAAATTGCTGGAAAAGAGTGATGAACACTTCTAGTAGGTTTGGTATTCTAGAGACTAAGGGTACGTCTAGACTACATGCCTCTGGCAACAGAGGCATGTAGATTAGGCTACCGGACATAGTAAAATGAAGCGGCGATTTAAATAATCGCCAGGAGGCATACCTGGGTTGTCGACAAATACCTTTGATGTCGGCAGGGGAGCGTCCAGACTATCGGCGATTATTTAAATCGCCGCTTCATTTTACTATGTCCAGTAGCCTAATCTACATGCCTCTGGCGACAGAGGCATGTAGTCTAGACGTACCCTTGAAGGCAGCCTTTTCTTCCCTAAAAACATTTGTAACAACCTCTCTATATGCCTTTGTTAAGGGGGTGTCGAGAAACCTAAACGTTAAACCAAAGGAAGATCTTACTGCTTTATTATGCAACATACCACAAAAACTATATATTTAAAAAAATAAGTACACGAGAATAGTATTCATCTTTGTTCTTTAATGAAAACTTGTTTGTTTCCATTACATCTATTAGATTGGATTAATTATTTTGAAATAGTTTTTAAAATGTCAACCTTTCAATACTGTTAAGGTTGGTGTTGATCTGCTGCATTTGTGATAATTATGTATATCGTAGCTGCCGCGGCATAATTTGGATTTCAGTGGGGTGTAGGCAACCAACTCTCCTTAAAATCTTTGAAAATCCTGTCACATCTACCTTACACAATTTTAAGAAGAAATTTGGGAAGGTTACAGTTTATAACTTGAGTCCATTTTCCCCTTGCTTTAATCATTTTCGATGTCCCAGTTCTCCATGTACCTGGGTAGGGCAAGTGACTCATTATCATAATTAATCATAGTTGGGCAATTTCAATTATTTGTAATTTTGAACACCATGGAGTCTTACTTTTTCTCTCAGAATTCTTAAATGTGAGTTATAGGGAGTGAGAGTTTAGAGTTACTACACACGAATATATTTTTTAACATATAATAAGCAATATAATTTTATTTTCAGACAAAAGTAAAATTACATGCAGGATAAAGAGGAAATCCATTATCAGTATTGTTACTGTTTGTTTAATTCTAACAATGTGCTTAGTGTTACACTAGCATCAAAGATAGACACTCCCTACCCTGAGCCTATACTTGAATCTGTGCAGATTGATCTTTACATGTATGTGAAACCCAGTGACAGTTCAGTTGTTGCCTATTCATTTGAGGAGCTCCTTTTACTGGCATATGGACATATTTTAGTATGTTTATGAACAACAGATGAGACCAAAGTCAAGTTAACATGTACAGTAAAACTCCAGTTGTCCGGCATCCAGTGGTCTGGAACTCCTGATAGTTCGGCACTACCTGGAACCCGGAAGTGCTCCAAGCAGCTGGACAGTTGGAGATGCTCTTCCCCGGGCTTCCCTGAGTCAGCCGCTGGTCAGTTTCAGCAGCGGCTGACTTGGGGAAGCCCGGGGCAGAGCAGCTGGGGTGCTGCTGGGCTGCTCCCACATCCCCTCCACCCCAGACCCCTCATAGCCCCCCCTTCCAATAGTCCGGCATATTTGATAATCCGGTACCCACTGGGTCCTAAAGGTGCCGGATTATCGGAAGTTTACTGTATTAATTTTGGTAATGCATACTGCTATTTGCCACACCTTTAATTTGATGATTAAACTAAAAGTATATTTGCAGTTTAATATTGTTAAAGAAAATAGTTTTGAAAATCTGTTCCTAGGAACTAAACTTTTAATTTAGTAATTCTATTAAGAGATGAAAATTTTTAAAAAGCCATTCAACCTCTGGGTGTCTGAATAAAAATTCTTCCGCTGTACCCATTGTAGTAGTGATAGTCATGCTTCCTTCCCCATCTCTTTTTTGTAGGACCACAAAATGGGATGATGGATGGAATTGCTCATCCCCTTCCTTATTTTGTCCACCAGTTTGGCCTAATTTTTGGTTCTATATGCCTTCTTTTTGCCACACAGGATCTTAACACAGTTCTTGGGTGGTGTCATTTATTTAAATCAATAAACAGTTTTTCTGTCTTCTCCTTGTACTTTTCCTTTAACCCATTATATAAAATTGTTTTTGTGACAATTCATGAACCTTCAATCATTGTTCATTAGTTAGGGCTAACCAGTAAAGTAGTCCTGCTAAGCTTACCCAATTATTCCAACAGTTTAAAAAAATTACAAGCCCTAGCTGACTAGCCTACTCCTATGTTTGAAACCCCCCTAATCAGGGGTGGCCCAAGGCAGGCTGCCGGCAACTGGTGCCCTACGTGGAATGCGTGATTGGCGCCCCCGCTTCCACAGCCCTCATTGGCGTGACGTCATCATTGGGTGCCCCGTTTAACGCAGCGCCCTAGGCGACAGCCGAGTAGGTCTATACGCATGGGCTACCACTGCCCCTAATGTAGATACAACTATACCAATGTTTTGAAAGCTGCTAACAGGCCACTCCAGTTTGTTAACTTAATTCGGCTCACCACAACCAATGGGAGCTGCAAGGCTCCATGACAGCAGAGCCGTTAGGTAAATAAATTGGAGTGGCCCGTTATCAGCTTTCTCAAAGTTGGCCCCGGCTCACTTTGAGAAACACTGAGCTATACCAACAGAACAGTGTTCCTGTTAGCTAACATCATTCATAGAAGTGTTGTGGCTACATTTTCAATAGAACTTTTTATGGCAGATACACCATGTACACCAGAGGGTTTTGCCTGCATAGCTATACAGGCCAAGCCTCTGTAGTGTAAATCAGGGGGCAGACCCTTTTCTTTCTGAGCCCCAAATATGGTATAAAAATTCCACAGCCTGCCTCTGTCACAACTGATTTGTACATATAAAAAACAGGAATGGCGTTAGAGAGTAGCAAGCAGGGAATTTGCCTGGGACTTCATACCACATGGGCTCCTGCAAAACTACATTGGTCAGGCTTCAACTTCAGTCTTGAGTGGCAGAGCTCAGGACTTAGGCTTCAATTAGAAATGTTAAATTTAGATTAATTGGCTGATCAAATAGTTGATGCAACTTTAGGGGTGGAGGGAATCGATTCATCATTCACATCCCTAGCTTCAGTCTCACGTAGCAGGGCTTTGCCCTGAGCCCCAGTGTGTCTAATGCTGGCCCTGCTTCATGTCTCCCCTTGAAACCTGCTTGTGGTCTCCAGGGGTCCTTGGACCTCAGCTTGAGAGTCATTGGTGTAAACAAGCCCACAGGCCCCAGTTTTGTAAAGGCTTCCGTGTGTATTTTAAATATAGACAATTAAGTCAGTGGGACCTAATCACGGTGTATAAAGTTAAGCCCATGTGGATGTCTTTGCAGTAGGATAAGAGCCATAGTATTCTGTGATATTTGGTCTTGCCCATAGATTTCAAAATAATAGGAACCATTTAATACTGCATCTGAAATGGCAGGACAATTTTGTTTGTATAAATGAATGCTTTTTAGATGCAGTAATGGGATCGTTGACAGCTTGCAATGTCATAAGTCAGTTTGAAACTTTGGCTCTAAATATCCTTTAATTTTTTCTTGTACTTTTAAAAGTTCTGGTTTATTTCAGCACAAAATTCATTGAAGGGACTGTGTTACAACTGCTTGAGGAAGATGACTGTGTAGTGGGTGTTCAATACAAGGATAAAGAAACTGGGGATATTAAGGTGAGACAGCAAATTTCACTGTTCTTTGTGATTAACTATAGTATAGTCACAGATAGAAGAAGAAGAAGAAGAAGAAGATTTGGTTATTTAAGAATATTAAAAATGTGCATCAGGCATTAGAAAAATACAAGGAGACTTTGTGGTCTCATGAATAGAGAGCTGGACTGGATCAGAGAAACATGGTTTCAGTTTCTGGCTCTGCCACTGGCCTGTTGGATCATCTTAGGCAAGTCACTTCACTGTCTGTGCCTCTAGTTGCCCATCTGTAAAGTGGAAATAAATGGTGATTAGTTAAGCATTTTTATCTGTCACTGAAAAGTGCTATATATAGGCTAGATATTTTTATTGTTTAAACAAGGAAGCAGTGACTTCCACATATGGTAGTATAGGATAATATAGTAAATTACATTTAGAAATGTGTACAGTTTCTTTAGTTGAAAAAATCCCTGCTGTTTTGGACTTTTTCTAGTGTTGAATATTATTGTTCTTCAAATACAAACCATTTAACATTATTGCACTTTCAGTTTCAGAAAATCATTGATTTATTTTTAGACTGCTTGGGGTGGTTTGTTGATATTAAATATTGTGGTATCCTAAAGCACATAGGAGATTATACATAATTCATTTTGATAGCTTACCAGTGATTTGATCATTTTATCCCAGAATTAAATAAAAGTATTGGTGGTGTGTTATCTAGAAACTAGCCAATTAGCAAACTAGCCAATTAGCCCGTCATAAAATGGGATTTTCAGGTCTCTTCTCCACATCCTATCACTTTCTATCTCAGTCCTCTCTCCTGAGCCTCCTGTCTCTCGCTCTGTCTCTCTCTCTCCCTTCCTCCTACTGCCTCCCCCCTTCTCTCTCTCAGCTCTCCTCCATCTCCTGCCTCTCTCTGTCTCTCTTTCTCTTCTCCTCCTCCTGCCTCTCACTCTCTCTTTTTCTTCTCCTCCTCTTGCGTGGGGAGCGCAGAGCCCAAACGGCTGTTTGTGCTGTTTGCTCCAATACTGCAGCCCAGCTGAGCGGCTGCCTATAGCTCCAGCTGCCCACCTCCACCATTTTCCTTCACCCCAGCACTGATCCTGCAGCCTCCAAGTTGTCCTCCACCTCCCTCTCATTCCCCCGCCCTCCGCCTGGCCAGGGTCTGTTCGTGGCCAGGGGGTGGGGCCTGGAGCCGCTGTCACGCCGCACGTCACTGCCCCGCCCCCTTTGCCTACTGCCGTGGCGCTCGGTTGACTTCTGCGCCACTCAGCTGGGCCATCACGTGGGAGCGCGGACCCCAAATGGCCGCTTGCTCCTGTGCAACGGCGCAACTGAGCGGCACAGAAATCAGCCGAGCAACCATGGCAGGAGGCAACAGCGCCGCCCAGAGGGAACAGCCAGCATTTCAGCGTTAGAGAGTCTCAGACATTGTGCTACTATATATATGATTACATTTTTGTCTTATCTTTTGTTTGTTCCTTTAAAAGACAAAGAAATTGAGGAATCTGCAGAAATATTTTATTTATTATTTATTGGTGTGTTAATGTAGTAAAAGATGTTCCGTTTTTGTTTTCTTTACACCTAGAGAGGCAGTTCTGTGTTTTGTTGATAGATAGAGGTTTTCAGATTCTTCAATAAAAATACATTAGATGTTTTCCATTATAAGCTTCTCATCTTCTTAAACTGCTCGTTTATATCTTAATGGCTATAACTAGACTGCATCCCTCTGTCCACAGATGGATGCAAATCAAACACATCGAAATGACTAATGAAGCCAGGATTTAAATATCCTGCGCTTCATTAGCATAAACATGGCTGCCGCTTTTTTTCCAAATGGAGTTTTTTCAAAAAAAGGCAGTATAGACGCGGATCTGTTGAAAATAAACCCTTTTTTGATAGATCCCGTATTCCTCAAAAAATGGGATTTACAGGATCTGTCAAAAAAGGATTTATTTTTGACAGATCCACGTCTAGACTGCCATTTTCTTTGAAAAAACTCCTTTTAGAAAAAAAGCGGCGGCCATGTTTATGCTAAAGAAGTGTGGGATATTTAAATCCCGTCTTCATAGCAATTTCGATGTGCCTAATCTACATCTCTCTGTCGACAGAGAGGTGTAATCTAGACACACCCAAAGTTTTTACAGAGTTTGAACTCTTCCATATTTTCATTCCAAAGTGATTTATTATGGGATTTTTTCACTGTAAAATTGAGATAAATTAATTCATCTATTTATTTCTGAATATAATATTTTATTTATATATAT